GCCTATTAAAATATTACACGTGGATATGTATTATATCAATTATTTTAATATTGGGTCCTAAAATAATACCGCTTGTGATAATATTGGGCCCATTAAACATATATATAAATACCCCGATGATGGACATCATCGAGATAAGTCTGAGGGGGCGCCTGTATTATTTTAGATCTAATTTTCTCTCTCCTGCACCGCTTCAGGGACGAGAGTTTTATCTTCATCTTCTTCAATATTTTCTTGGTTCAAATACACAAGAACATACCAAAAATTCACCGAAAAAATCACAAAAAATATATATTGAAAAATATACGATAAATTTCTCTGAACCCCTCATGTTGATCAAATTTCGAGCATCAACAGGAGGTAAAAATCGAAGTAATGAGCTTTAAAAGTAAATACCCAATCTTCTATTGCGTGCTAGACGAAAATCGGAGTCAAAAGCTCGGAACTTGAACAAAATAAGAGTCGCCGGAAAACTCGCCGGAAAATGATGTCATAGAGCTCCAATGAGAGAGAAGAGAGAAAACTAAAAAGAAAAGCTTAATTCCTAAAGTAGAAAAGTGACAAATGAAATCTCGGTAGCCAAAATACAAAGGGCCAAAATGTATTTATAGTCCAGCTCAAACCACACACTAGAAACACGGACATTTAATAAAAGACACTCTCGAGCTCGCGGAAATTTCCGCTGGTCGCGGGCACGAATGGCATGGGGTGCGGCACGAGGAAAACGCGGCATGGCGCGACGAAACAAGGCACTCTCGACAACACAGAGAGATTCGCGCGTGCGGACGGGCAGTTGGGAGAGCGCTCTCGACGTCGCGGGGCAGCTCGAGCGCGCGGACGTGAGGGATGGAGCACTCTCGAGGTCGCGGGGGGCTCTAGCGTGTTCGCGAGCGAGCAGATGGCAACACTCTCGTGGTCGCGGCGCTTTCCGAGGGCGCGGGCGAGCAGACGGCACACTCTCGTGATCGCGGCAAATGTGGCGAGGTCGCGAGTGGCACTGGGGCGGAGCGAGGCGCGAGCTCGCGAGTTCCCGGACCAGCTTTGGGGACTTTGGTCAACAAGGCTTGACTTACTCGGAATGGGAACGATTCGTACGACATGGCTCGAAACTTCTCGGCAACGACTCGGAATTCATTGGAAAGTGCTCGTCTTTCGGGACTTGGTTCGACTTCTCTCATCTACCTCGGAATAATCCTAAAAATACACCCAAGAGCACGGAAAAGTACGTCAAAAATATAAAATAAAAAGAAAGACATGAAAACACACAAAACACGATAAAATGGACCGGTCGACACAAAAACGAACTTAAAAAGACTAAACTAAAACACATAAAATACACGAAAATAAGCACAAAAACACAATAAACACCCACAAAAAAGACAAGGACTAGAACTCAACCATAGGAGTATGAAATAACAGATGCATTTGTATAGCAAGAATTGATATGAGGAAATAATAATGTGACCATACATAAAAGTGAACATCAAATTATATGTAGGGGAACGATATTATGAACATATATAGAAGTTATGTTGCATGTGTACTCGAACTGTGATGAAATTTGAACCTGTTTTTGGCTTTTGCTATTTGCTGCGTACTATTTTACATCTACATAGGTGAACCAAATCCTAAGATTTAAAAGTTTGGCATGTCTAGGTGTAAATAAATAAGTGAAAAAATGATTTAAGTCATAACTCATATGTATTGGAAAAGTCACCCCCTAATAAATTTGAAGAAAAATCATGTTATTATGCGGGTCTATGCTATTAGGAAGATTTCTATAAATATATAATAAGAATTATTATTTTTAAAAAATGGCAGGTCAACCTCTGATCAAACTCGGTCAGCATTTATTACATACTATTAATAGCAACTTCTTTTTTAAAATGAAAAAACGAATAAGAGATAGATGTTGGCCTTAAGAAGTGGAGAGGTTGTTAATTGTAGTTGCACAATATCAGACTTACTTTTTCATTCTCACAAAATCGTGTACCACTCATCCAGCTTTTTTTTTGGATAAAAAAATCATGGCTGATTTAATAATAAAAAATTAGTTTTTCATTTTCACAAAATCAAAAAACCTTTTTATAATATAAAATCGTGTACCGCTCATCTATTTTTTTTTTTGGATAAAAAGAAATTATGGTTGATTTAATAATAAAAATTTACTTTTTTATTTTAAAAAAAAAATCCGTAACTTTTTTAACATCAAATCGGCTAATAAAATTGTTTTAAATGGCGGCTATTATTTTTTAATAAAAATAAATTACGGCTTATTAAATAATCAAATATAAAATAATTAATTTTTTTTAATCTTACTCTCCAAATCTATATCTATATATATATATATATATATATAATAAGAATAACCATTTACAAAAAATAATAGCAAAAACATTTTGGAGCATTAAATGCATACCTTCTTTGAAAACTTTTAAAATATATGCATTAATTGTTTCCATATATACAATATCAAATCAGACATGATCAAAAGATTATTTCCTTTAAAATTTTATTCAATAATTTCATTGATACTCATTATAATAAATACAAATTTAATTATCGTGATTCATATTGATTATTTTATTGTCAAGGTAGACATGAAAACATATTTGAAATTATAAGCATATTATTTTTTTTCCACATATACTTACTTTTCATCCTAAAATATTTATGAGAAATCGTAACATGCTAAGCAATTTTTTTCATCTTTATTTCATGATATATATATATATATAATTAAAATATATTAACTATTCTTTAACATTTATTAACTATTCGTTATTTGTATATTATTATTATTTTTTCACTATGATTTATTTGTATATTATTATTAACCATGATTATTTTTTTGTCATTTTTTTTTATTCTGATTTCTCTCTATAGTGAATTTTTTTTAAATATATATTCCATAGTATGTTGAATAAACTATAAAGTTTTATAATGTAAATTAGAAAAATTAAAGATGTTTAATTATTATAAGAAATAAAATTCTAAAAAAACGTTTGTGTATATTTTGTAAAATATTTGTACACAATGTTTTATTTTAAATTTATTTAGATAACTTAAACTAATTACATTAATAAATAATATTAACGTATATTAAATATTTTCATTAAATAAAATAAAAAGAAGAAGAAGACTGCATCTATAACTTTTAAAAATGACATTATATTACAACAAGTTTTTTAATAAAATAATAATTGAGTAGTATAGGAGGAACAAGAATAAATAAAATTGTTATTTTTCTTATCAAAGAATAAATATATATACTAAAATAAAATTTATATTACTATACACATGTTAGGAGAATAATATATTAATTAATTTACGGGCTAGAGCTAACAGGCAATTTTAACGTCCCGACAAAAAAATGACGCTGATGAAAAGAGGTGGAAAATAGATTATCCAACTCTATTATCTTTTAGGGCTTAACGATCAAGCCCTATGGAAATGACTCATTTAATATTTCTGTCTCGTGCATCGCACGAGCTATTTAATGAACAAACAAAAATGACTTATTTAATATTTCTGTCCCGTGCATCGCACGGGCTACGTACTAGTAGATAAAGTAATATATTTTCATAATAAAATATCACACATTGAATAACATATCTTAACATAAATAAAAGTAACGCACTTTATAAATTTTTTTTCATTTTTCATTTCTTATGGCAAGGTTACCAGTAACAGTAAGTTGCATTTGCATGGAATGATCCAGATTTAAGGGACTTCTTTGACTTTTAATTATAATCCGAAATAAATAACTTGTGAACTTATTCATCCTTTTTTTTTTGGTACATAAGAGAAGCTAGCACCAAATAACGTTTGGGACAAACGTTTCATGAATAAGAGACACCTTCAACGTCGTGCTTTAGCCACAGAACAACACCTAACGGTGGAGCTGAAAGAAGTTGGAGATCGGTAGGACTTGAGGTCGCCTTAAACATAGTCAGCTGCGAAATTTGCCTCGCGAAAGATATGAAAAATCTTAATGGGTGTTCATTCTGACTTGATTTTAGGGATAAGAGAACTACACAGTCGGGACTGGCAGGTTAAGATTTCTGGTCGAAACTACTTATGAGCTTTACTCCAACCCTCTGGATTTTATTTTATTCCCTTTTTTTTTTTTTTTTTTTTTTTTTTTTTT